TTGGGGGGGGGGGGGGGCTCGGGGGGTCCCAAAAGAGGGGGAGGGGATCAGTAATAGGTTTCCTTCTCCACCCAGCCTGCAAAAAAGGGGAGGGGGCGTCAGGGGGACCCCAAATCCAAAATCCCCAAATTCCCAAACCCCCAAATCCCCAAAATCCCAAATCCAAAATCCCCAAATCCCCAAACCCCAAATCCTCGAACCCCAAACCCCCAAATCCCAAAATCCCCAAATTCCCAAACCCCCTAAATTGGGGTGCGGGGGGGGCTCGGGGGGTCCCAAAAGAGGGGGAGGGGATCAGTAATAGGTTTCCTTCTCCACCCAGCCTGCAAAAAAGGGGAGGGGGCGTCAGGGGGACCCCAAATCCAAAATCCCCAAATTCCCAAACCCCCAAATCCCCAAAATCCCAAATCCAAAATCCCCAAATCCCCAAACCCCAAATCCTCGAACCCCAAACCCCCAAATCCCAAAATCCCCAAATTCCCAAACCCCCTAAATCCCGTGTTCCCCCCAAATCCTCGGAGATTTGGGGTTTTTTTGGGGTGCCCCCCCATTTTTATGGCGTTTTCCCCTTGGGTTTTGGGTTCTGTCCCCTTTTTTGGGTGGTTCCCATTTTTTGGGGTTCCCATTTTTTGGGGTTCCCATTTTTAGAGTTCCCATTTTTTGGGGTTCCCATTTTTTGGAGTTCCCATTTTTTTGGGGTTCCCATTTTTAGGGTTCCCATTTTTTAGGCTTTCAATTTATTTGACTTTCCATTTCCCCCCATTTTTTTGTCCCTCATTTTCTCACCCCCAATTTTTTTGGGTTTTCCCCCATTTCATTCCCATTTCCCCCCCATTTTATTTCCATTTCCCCCATTTTATTTCCATTTCCCCCCATTTTATTTCCATTTTTTCCCCATTTTATTTCCATTTTTCCCATTTTTTTTAAACTTCCCCCCATTTTCCCCCCCCCATTTCCCCCTCCCTCCATTTTTGATGGTTCCCCCCCGTTTTTTTGGGGTCCCCCCGAGGTTTTTGGGGTCTCACCTCCGGGGTAGCGCCTCAGGATCAGTTTCCTCACCTCGTCGTAGGCGAAGATCAGCAGGGAATATTGGGGTGCGGGGGGGGCTCGGGGGGTCCCAAAAGAGGGGGAGGGGATCAGTAATAGGTTTCCTTCTCCACCCAGCCTGCAAAAAAGGGGAGGGGGCGTCAGGGGGACCCCAAATCCAAAATCCCCAAATTCCCAAACCCCCAAATCCCCAAAATCCCAAATCCAAAATCCCCAAATCCCCAAACCCCAAATCCTCGAACCCCAAACCCCCAAATCCCAAAATCCCCAAATTCCCAAACCCCCTAAATCCCGTGTTCCCCCCAAATCCTCGGAGATTTGGGGTTTTTTTGGGGTGCCCCCCCGTTTTTATGGCGTTTTCCCCTTGGGTTTTGGGTTCTGTCCCCTTTTTTGGGTGGTTCCCATTTTTTGGGGTTCCCATTTTTTGGGGTTCCCATTTTTAGAGTTCCCATTTTTTGGGGTTCCCATTTTTTGGAGTTCCCATTTTTTTGGGGTTCCCATTTTTAGGGTTCCCATTTTTTAGGCTTTCAATTTATTTGACTTTCCATTTCCCCCCATTTTTTTGTCCCTCATTTTCTCACCCCCAATTTTTTTGGGTTTTCCCCTATTTCATTCCCATTTTTCCCCCACTTATTTCCATTTCCCCCCCACTTTATTTCCATTTCCCCCCATTTTATTTCCATTTCCCCCCATTTTATTTCCATTTTTTCCCCATTTTATTTCCATTTTTCCCATTTTTTTTAAACTTCCCCCCATTTTCCCCCCCACATTTCCCCCTCCCTCCATTTTTGATGGTTCCCCCCCATTTTTTTGGGGTCCCCCCGAGGTTTTTGGGGTCTCACCTCCGGGGTAGCGCCTCAGGATCAGCTTCCTCACCTCGTCGTAGGCGAAGATCAGCAGGGAATAGGGGAAGGCACAGAACCACCAGGTGACCCTGGGCAAAAAACCCCAAAATTTGGGCACCCCAAATCCCGGGGGGGGCCCCATTTTTGCCTCCCCCCAATTTTTCAACTCCCTTTTATTTTTTCATTCCCATTTTCTGAGATTCCGCCCCCAATATTTTCATTTTTCCCTCATTTTTTTGGTTGTTTGGGGGATTTTTTTGGAGGGGAATTGGGGATTTTGGGGGATTTTTTTTTGGGGGGTTGAGTGATTTTGGGATTTTTTGGAGGGGGTTTGTAGGGGAACTGGTATTTTGGGGGGATTTGGGGTTTTTTTTTGCGGGGGTGTTGAGTGGTTTTGGGATTTTTTGGAGAGGGTTTCAAGAGGAATTGGGAATTTTTGGGGATTTTTGGGTTTGTTTTGGGATTTTTTTAGATGGGGTTTTGAGGGGAATTGGGGATTTTGGGGGTGGTGAGATTTGGGATTTTTTGGGGGGTTTTGGAGAGGTTTTTGGATTTTTTGGATGGGGTTTCGAGGGCAGTTGGGAATTCTTGGGGGATTTGGGATTTTTTTGGAGGGGTTTGCAATGGTTTTGGGATTTTTGGGGGGATTTGGAACAGGGATGGGGGTTTGGAATGGGTTTTGGGGGTTTTGTAGGGGAATTGGGGATTTTTTTTTGGGATTTGGGATTTTTTAGAGCTTTGGAGAGGTTTTGGGGGATTTTTTTGGAGGGGGTTTGGAAGGGAATTGGAGATTTTTGTGGGATTTGGGATTTTTTGGGGGTATCTGGAAGAGGGATGGGGTTTTGGAATGTATTTGTGGGGTTTTATAGGGGAATTGGGGAATTTGGGGGAATTTGGGATTTTTTAGAGCTTTGGAGATGTTTTGGGGGATTTTTTTGGAGGGGAATTGGGGATTTTTGGGGTCGGGATTTGGGGTGTCCCTCACTTGAGGGGGTACATGCGCAGAGCCACCCCCATGCCCGGGCAGTAGGACAGGAACGCCGCCAGCGCCGTCTCCTCCAGCAGCCCGAAAATCAGGATCTTGTTCCTAAAAAATTGGGGGGATTTGGGGTTTTTTGGGGGATTTTTTAGGGTTGGAGAGGTTTGGGGATGTTTTTGGGGGGGTTGGAAGGGGCATCAGGGATTTGGAGTGGGTTTGTGGGAGGGGGATTTGGGATTTTGAGAGAATTTTGGGTTTTTTGGGGGATGGGAAAGGTTTTAGGGGTTTGGGGTGGTTTTGGGCAAGATTTTGGGGTGATTTGGTTTCTGGATTTTTTGGATGGTGTTTCGAGGGCAGTTGGGAATTCTTGGGGGATTTGGGATTTTTTGGAGGGGTTTGCAGTGGTTTTGGGATTTTTGGGGGGATTTGGAAGAGGGATGGGGGTTTGGAATGGGTTTTGGGGGTTTTGTAGGGGAATTGGGGATTTTTTTGGGATTTGGGATTTTTTAGAGCTTTGGAGCGGTTTTGGGGGGTTTTTTGGAGGGGGTTTGGAAGGGAATTGGAGATTTTTGTGGGATTTGGGATTTTTTGGGGGTATCTGGAAGAGGGATGGGGGTTTGGAATGTATTTGTGGGGTTTTATAGGGGAATTGGGGACTTTTGGGGGATTTGGGAGGGATGGGGGTTTGGAATGTATTTGTGGGGTTTTATAGGGGAATTGGGGACTTTTGGGGGATTTGGGATTTTTTAGAGCTTTGGAGAGGTTTTGGGGGATTTTTTTGGAGGGGGTTTGGAAGGGAATTGGAGATTTTTGTGGGATTTGGGATTTTTTGAGGGTATCTGGAAGAGGGATGGGGTTTTGGAATGTATTTGTGGGGTTTTGAAGGGGAATTGGGGACTTTTTTGGGATTTGGGATTTTTTAGAGCTTTGGAGAGGTTTTGGGGGATTTTTTTGGCGGGGGTTTGGAAGGGAATTGGAGATTTTTGGGGTCGGGATTTGGGGTGTCCCTCACTTGAGGGGGTACATGCGCAGAGCCACCCCCATGCCCGGGCAGTAGGACAGGAACGCCGCCAGCGCCGTCTCCTCCAGCAGCCCGAAAATCAGGATCTTGTTCCTAAAAAATTGGGGGGATTTAGGGTTTTTAGGGGATTTGGGGTTTTTTTTTTAGGGTTGGAGAGAGACAGGAACGCCGCCAGCGCCGTCTCCTCCAGCAGCCCGAAAATCAGGATCTTGTTCCTAAAAAATTGGGGGGATTTGGGGTTTTTTGGGGGATTTTTTAGGGTTGGAGAGGTTTGGGGATGTTTTTGGGGGGGTTGGAAGGGGCATCAGGGATTTGGAGTGGGTTTGTGGGAGGGGGATTTGGGATTTTGGGAGAATTTTGGGTTTTTTGGGGGATGGGAAAGGTTTTAGGGGTTTGGGGTGGTTTTGGGCAAGATTTTGGGGTGATTTGGGGTGGTTTTTGGGGTGTTTTGTTGCACTTCACGCCCTGCTGGAAGAGGGAGTTGAGGTGGATTTTGGGCTGGTTTTGGGTGGGATTTTGGGGTGGTTTTGGGTGGGATTTTGGGGTGATTTTGGGATGATTTCAGGATGATTTCAGGTGTGTTTTGTGTAGGATTTTGGGGTGGTTTTGGGTGGAATTTTGGGGTGATTTTGGGATGATTTCAGGTGTGTTTTGGGTAGGATTTTGGGGTGGTTTTGGGTGGGATTTTGGGGTGATTTTGGGATGATTTCAGGTGTGTTTTGGGTAGGATTTTGGGGTGTTTTGGTCCCCAGTTCATGCCTTGTTGGAAGACAGATTTGGGTGAATTTTGGGGAAATTTGGGCTGGTTTAAAGTGGGATTTTGGGCTGGTTTTGGGTGGGATTTTGGGGTGATTTTGGACTGTTTTTTGGGGTGGTTTTGGGGTATTTTTGGGGTGCTTTGTTGCACTTCATGCCCTGCTGGAAGATGGAGTTGTGGTGGATTTTAGGGGAATTTTGGGGTGGTTTAGGGTGGGATTTTGGGGTATTTTTGGGGTGATTTTGGGGTGATTTGGGGGTGTTTTTGGGGTGGTTTGGGGGTATTTTTGGGGTGGTTTTGGGGTGCTTTGTCGCACTTCATGCCCTGCTGGAAGACGGAGCTGGGTGGATTTTGGGTGGGATTTTGGGGTTGTTTGGGGTGTTTTTGGGATATTTTTGGGGTGATTTTGGCGTATTTGGAGGTGTTTTTGGGGTGCTCTGTCGCACTTCATGCCCTGCTGGAAGACGGAGCTGGGTGGATTTTGGGTGGGATTTTGGGGTTGCTGGGGTGTTTTTGGGGTGTTTTTGGGGTGCTCTGTCGCACTTCATGCCCTGCTGGAAGACGGAGTTGCGGCGCGTCTTGCAGATGATGAGATCCGCCCACTGCACCACGACGATGCTGGCGAAGAACGCCGTGTGGCACGTGAACTCCACCACCTTGCGCTGCTCGTACGTCTGGGGACGGGAACGGGGGAACGGGGACCGGGAGGAAACCGGAGTGAGCAACGGGGGAAACCGGGGACAAAACTGGGAGTGAATAATGGGGGAAACTGGGAGGAAACCAGAGTGAGCAACGGGAAATGGAGAGAACAGTGGGAGAAACCGGGAGGGAACAACGGGGAAACTGGGAGGAAACTGGGAGTGAGCAATGGGGAAACTGGGAGGAAACTGGGAGTGAGCAATGGGGAAACCGGGAGGAAACTGGGAGTGAAAAACGGGGAAATGGAGTGAACAATGGGAGAAACTGGGAGGGAACAACGCGGAAACCGGGAGGAAACTGGGATGAACAATGGGGGAATCCGGGGGGGAAACTGGAGTGAAAAACGGGGAAATGGAGTGAACAGTGGGAGAAACCGGGAGGGAACAACGCGGAAACCGGGAGGAAACTGGGAGTGAGCAATGGGGAAACTGGGAGGAAACTGGGAGTGAGCAATGGGGAAACCGGGAGGAAACTGGGAGTGAAAAACGGGGAAATGGAGTGAACAGTGGGAGAAACTGGGAGTGAGCAACGGGGGAAACTGGGAGGAAACTGGGAGTGAACAATGAGGGAAACTGGGAGTGAACAACAGGAAATGGAGTGAACAGTGGGAGAAACCAGGAGAGAACAATGGGGAAACCGGGAGGAAACCGGAGTGAGCAATGGGAAATGGAGTGAACAGTGGGAGAAACTGGGAGTGAGCAACGGGGGAAACCGGGAGGAAACCGGGAGTGAACAATGGAAAATGAACAATGGGAGAAACTGGGAGGAAACCGGAGTGAGCAATGGGAAATGGAGTGAACAGTGGGAGAAACCGGGAGTGAACAACGGGGAAACCAGAGTGAACAGGGGAAACTGGGAACCAGAGTGAACAACGGGGGAAACCAGGAATCGGAGTGAAAAATGGGGGAAACCAGGGAAGAAACCGGGGGTAAACAACGGGGGAAACCAAGGAATGGAGTAAATAATGGGGAAACCAGAGTAAACAATGGGGGAAACTGGGGAGGAAACTGGGAGTGAGCAATGGGGGAAAGAAATGAGGGAAGAAACCGGGAACCAGAGTGGACAACGGGGGAACCAGGATTGAATGGGAGAAACGGGGCGGAAACGAGGCAGAAACGAGTGTGGAAATTGGGCAGAAATGGGTGTGGAAATGGGATGGAAGTTGGTGTGTAACTGGTGTGTAACTGGTGTGTAATTGGTGTGGAACTGGTGTGGAGCTGGCGTGGAACTGGTGTGGAACCAGTGTGTAGGGTCAGTGTGGGGTCCCTCACCCACTCCTGTCCGTAGGAATCCTCCAGGTCGTTCTTGGAGCGGTCGTCCCAGGCCAGGCGGATCCCGAGCAGCGTCCCCGGCAGGAACCCGTTCTCCGCCAGGATCACGAAGTAGGTGAAGAACCCGCCCAGAGCCTGGATCATCCCTGCGGGGTCAGGATTGGGATTGGGATTGGGATCGGGATCGGGATTGGGATCGGGATTGGGATAAAAAACATGGGATTGGATCACGAAGTAGGTGAAGAACCCGCCCAGAGCCTGGATCATCCCTGCGGGGTCAGGATTGGGATTGGGATTGGGATCGGGATCGGGATTGGGATCGGGATTGGGATAAAAAACATGGGATTGGATCACGAAGTAGGTGAAGAACCCGCCCAGAGCCTGGATCATCCCTGCGGGGTCAGGATTGGGATTGGGATTGGGATCGGGATCGGGATTGGGATCGGGATTGGGATAAAAAACATGGGATTGGATCACGAAGTAGGTGAAGAACCCGCCCAGAGCCTGGATCATCCCTGCGGGGTCAGGATTGGGATTGGGATTGGGATCGGGATCGGGATTGGGATCGGGATTGGGATAAAAAACATGGGATTGGATCACGAAGTAGGTGAAGAACCCGCCCAGAGCCTGGATCATCCCTGAGGGATTGGGATCGGGATCAGAGCCATGGGATTTGGGGTCATCTTGGACCCTTCACTGACCGATCTGGCCGTAGGCCATGCTGATGGCCCTGAGTGACCCCTGAGTGACCCCGGAGTGACCCTGGGTGACCCTGGGTGACCCCTGAGTGACCCCGAGTGACCACTGACCGATCTGGCCGTAGGCCATGCTGATGAGCCGCTCGTTGACCAGCTTGTCGCTGCGCGGGTTCCGCGGTTGCCGTTTCATGATGTCGCTCTCGGCCGCCTCGTAGGCCAGGGAGATGGCGGGGACCTGAGGGGACAGCGGTGTCACCTGGTGTCACCCAATGTCACCTGTGTCGTCCAAAGCCACCCGGGGTCACACGTCATGGGATGGTGACTGTGCCCAGGGACAGGAGGGTTTGGGGTCTCTGGATGGATTTGGGGTGCCCTGGGAGGATTTGGGATGTTCAGCGCCGGCGAGTCGTTCACGCCGTCACCCGTCACCGCCACGATGGCGCCCTGGGGACGTCGGGGACGTTGGGGACACTGGGGGCACTGGGGGCTTTGGGGACACTGGGGACATTGAGAACTCTGGAGACACTGGCGTCATTGGGAATATTGGGACATTGGGGGTATTGGGGACATTGGTGGCTTTGGACACACTGGGGACAGTGGGGATGTTGGGGACATTGGAGATGCTGGGGCCATTGGGGGTGTTGGGGATGTTTGGGACATTGGGAATATTGGGGACATTTGGGACATTGGGGACTTTGGGGATATTGGGGACATTTGGGACATTGGAGGTATGTGGGACATTGGGGGTGTTGGGGCCATTGGAGATATGGGGAACATTTGGGATGTTGGGGACACTGGGGACATTGGGGACACTGGGGGCTTTGGGGTCAGCGGGGGCTTTGGGGTCGTTGGTAACATTGGGAACATTGAGGATTTTGGGGACTTTGGGAACACTGGGGACACTGGAGGTACTGGGGACACTGGGAGCTTTGGGGACATTGGTGACATTGAGCGCTTTGGGGACACTGGGGCATTGGAGGTATTGGGGACACTTGAGGACATTTGGGACATTGGGGATATGGGGAATATTGGGGACATTGGGGACATTGTTGGGGATATCTGGGGACATTGGGGACACTTGAGGACATTGGGGACATTGGGAATATGGGCACCATTGGGGATATTGGGGACGTTGGTGGCTTTGGGGATATCTGGGGACATTGGGGACACTTGAGGACATTGGGGACAATGGGAATATGGGGAGCACTGGGGATAGTGGGGGAATTGGTGGCTTTGGGGACACCTGGGGACATTGGGGACACTTGAGGACATTGGGGACATTGGGAATATGGGCACCATTGGGATATTGGGGACATTGGTGGCTTTGGGGACACCTGGGGACATTGGGGACACTNCAATTGTCCCCAATGTCCGAATACCTGAAATGTCCCCAATGTCCCCGATGCCCCAAATATCTCAAATGCCCCCAATGCTCTCAATATCCCCAATGTCCCCAATATCCCAAATTTCCCCAAAGTCCCCAATGTCCCCAATGTCCCCAGTGTCCCCAATGTCCCCAATATCCCCAATGTCCCCAATGTCCCCAATGTCCCCAAGGTCCCCAAAGTCCCCAGTGTCCCAAATATCCCCAGTGCTCCCAATATCCTCAATGTCCCCAATGTCCCCAATGCTCCCAATGTCCCCAATGTCCTCAATGTCCCCAACACACCCAATGCCCCCAGTGCCCCAACGTCCCCAATATCCCCAAATTCCCCAATGACTCCGCTGCCCCCAATCCCCCCAATGCCCCCCATGTCCCCGATGTCCCCAAACCCCGGTGGCCGTCCCCGACCTTCCTCGACGCCGGTGACGATGGAGGCGAAGTTGTCGTCCAGCAGGATCATGTCGGCCGCCTGCTTGGACACGTCGGAGCCCGCGATGCCCATGGCGATCCCGATGTCCGCCTTCTTCAGCGCCGGCGAGTCGTTCACGCCGTCACCCGTCACCGCCACGATGGCGCCCTGGGGACGTCGGGGACGTTGGGGACACTGGGGGCACTGGGGGCTTTGGGGACACTGGGGACATTGAGAACTCTGGAGACACTGGCGTCATTGGGAATATTGGGACATTGGGGGTATTGGGGACATTGGTGGCTTTGGACACACTGGGGACAGTGGGGATGTTGGGGACATTGGAGATGCTGGGGCCATTGGGGGTGTTGGGGATGTTTGGGACATTGGGAATATTGGGGACATTTGGGACATTGGGGACTTTGGGGATATTGGGGACATTTGGGACATTGGAGGTATGTGGGACATTGGGGGTGTTGGGGCCATTGGAGATATGGGGAACATTTGGGATGTTGGGGACACTGGGGACATTGGGGACACTGGGGGCTTTGGGGTCAGCGGGGGCTTTGGGGTCGTTGGTAACATTGGGAACATTGAGGATTTTGGGGACTTTGGGAACACTGGGGACACTGGAGGTACTGGGGACACTGGGAGCTTTGGGGACATTGGTGACATTGAGCGCTTTGGGGACACTGGGGCATTGGAGGTATTGGGGACACTTGAGGACATTTGGGACATTGGGGATATGGGGAATATTGGGGACATTGGGGACATTGGTGGCTTTGGGGACACTGGGGACATTGGGGACACTTGAGGACATTGGGGACATTGGGAATATGGGCACCATTGGGGATATTGGGGACGTTGGTGGCTTTGGGGATATCTGGGGACATTGGGGACACTTGAGGACATTGGGGACAATGGGAATATGGGGAGCACTGGGGATAGTGGGGGAATTGGTGGCTTTGGGGACACCTGGGGACATTGGGGACACTTGAGGACATTGGGGACATTGGGAATATGGGCACCATTGGGATATTGGGGACATTGGTGGCTTTGGGGACACCTGGGGACATTGGGGACACTGGGGACATTGGGCTGAGGGTGCACCACGCACGCCTTGGCCTCCCTGGGGGGTCAGCACCCCAAAATTCCTGGGAAAACCCCCAAGACCCCAAAATTCCTGGGAAAACCACCCAGGACCCCAAAGTTCCTGGGATCACCCCAAAATCTCCTCCCCAGCTGCTCCGAGCTCGTGTCCTTCAGGTCCGAGCCGTGCACCACGCACGCCTTGGCCTCCCTGGGGGGTCAGCACCCCAAAATTCCTGGGAAAACCCCCAAGACCCCAAAATTCCTGGGAAAACCACCCAGGACCCCAAAGTTCCTGGGATCACCCCAAAATCTCCTCCCCAGCTGCTCCGAGCTCGTGTCCTTCAGGTCCGAGCCGTGCACCACGCACGCCTTGGCCTCCCTGGGGGGTCAGCACCCCAAAATTCCTGGGAAAACCCCCAAGACCCCAAAATTCCTGGGAAAACCACCCAGGACCCCAAAGTTCCTGGGATCACCCCAAAATCTCCTCCCCAGCTGCTCCGAGCTCATGTCCTTCAGGTCCGAGCCGTGCACCACGCACGCCTTGGCCTCCCTGGGGGGTCAGCACCCCAAAATTCCTGGGAAAATGCCCTGGGATCCCAAAATTCCTGGGAAAACCACCCAGGACCCCAAAGTTCCTGAGATCACCCCAAAATCTCCTCCCCAGCTGCTCCCAGCTCGTGTCCTTCAGGTCTGAGCCGTGCACCACGCACGCCTTGGCCTCCCTGGGCGGGTCACGGGGGTCTCAGCACCCCAAAATTCCTGGGAAAAACCCCCAGGACCCCAAAATTCCTGGGAAACTCCCTGGAACCCCATCCCAAAACTGCCCCCTTCAACTGCCTCCTCAGCTGCTCCCAGGTCGTGTCCTTCAGGTGTGACCATGCAAGAAACATGTCTTGGCTTCCCTGGTGGGGTTCACGGAGAGGTCAGCACCCCAAAATCAGCACCCCAAAATCAGCACCCCAAAAGTCCTGGGAAAAGCCCCACAGGACCCCAAAATGGCCTGAACTTCCCCCACCTGGCTCACTTGGGGTTCTCCAGTCTCACCTGAGCTTCACCTGTGGTTTTCCAGCTCACCTGGGGTTCCCCTGGGGCTCCCTTAAGGGCTCACCTGGGTTGGCTTCCCTGGTGGGGCTCACGGGGAGGTCAGCACCCCAAAATCAGCACCCCAAAATCAGCACCCCAAAATCAGCACCCCAAAAGTCCTGGGAAAAGCCCCACAGGACCCCAAAATGGCCTGAACTTCCCCCACCTGGCTCACTTGGGGTTCTCCAGTCTCACCTGAGCTCCACCTGTGGTTTTCCAGCTCACCTGGGGTTCCTCTGGCTCACCTGGGGCTCACCTGAGCCACACCTGGGGCTCACCTGGGCCTTACCTGCCTCACCCAGGGTTCCTCAGGCTCACCTGGGGTTCTTCTGGCTCACCTGGGGCTCACCTGGGGTTCCCCTGGCTCACCTGGATCTCACCCAGGCCTCACCTGTCTCACCTGGGGTTCACCTGGAGCTCACCTGGGCCTCACCTGTCTCACCTGGGGCTCACCTGGGGTTCCTCAGGCTCACCTGGGGCTCACATGGGCCTCACCTGGAGCTCACCTGGGGCTCACCTGGGGTTCCTCAGGCTCACCTGGGGCTCACATGGGCCTCACCTGGAGCTCACCTGGGGCTCACCTGGGGTTCCCCTGGCTCACCTGGATCTCACCCAGGCCTCACCTGTCTCACCTGGGGCTCACCTGGGGTTCCTCGGACTCACCTGGAGCTCACCCCTGTCCAGGTGACAGAACCCTGGAGACCACCAGGTCCCCTCAGGACCCTCTCCCCGAGCCCCCCCAGCTCCAGGTAGGCGTTCTGGAAGGTTCCTCCATGTTCCTATCCAAGTTCTTCTCCCCCAAATCTCCTCAGGATCCCCTTCCAGTAATGCCAGGGTGCCCCAAATCCCCTCAGGATCCCTCTCAGACCCCCTCAGGACCCTCCCAGCCCCCCGGGCGTACCCAGGACCCTCTCCCCGAGCCCCCCCAGCTCCAGGTAGGCGTTCTGGAAGGCCTCGCGCATCTCCTGGTCCAGGGGCTGCTCCTGGCCCTGCAGGAGGATGCGGGAGCAGCGGTCCAGGATGCGCTCGGGGGCTCCCTTCATCACCAGCAGGTAGCCCTGGGGGTCCTCCTCGCGCTCGTGGATGGACAGCTGGACACGGGACGGACAGGGGACAGCGGGGGGACATGGCAAGGTCAGCGTGGGGTCACCCACAGGCAGCCCGGGGTCACCAGAGCCACCCCGGCGTCACCAGAGCCAGCCCGGGGTCACCCAGACCTACCCCGGGGTCACCCGGAGCCACCCTGGGGTCACCAGAGCCACCCCATACCCCCATGCCCCCAGATCCCCCCGTGTCACCCATTGGCCATCCCCGTATCATCCATTGACCAGCCTGGTGTCACCAGCGCTGCCCACGTGGGAGAGCGCTTGTTGAAGGTGGCACCTGGGGACACGGGTCGGTGTCACCAGTGCCACCCATCGACCATCCCAGTGTCACCCATTGACCATCCCAGTGCCACCCATTGACCAGCCTGGTGTCACCCATTGATCATCCCAATGCCACCCATTGACCACACTGGTGTCACCAGCGCTGCCCACATGGGAGAGCACTTGTCAAAGGTGGCACCTGGGGACACGGGCCGATGTCAGCAGTGCCACCCCTTGGTGTCACCCATTGATCACCCTCGTGTCACCCATTGACCATCCCAGTGTCACCCATTGACCATCCCAGTGTCACCAGTGCCGCCCACATGGGAGAGCGCTTGTCAAAGGTGGCACATGGGGACACGGGCCAGTGTCAGCAGTGCCACCCGTTGGTGTCACCCACTGATCACCCTTGTGTCATCCATTGACCACTGTGGTGTCACCAGTGCCACCCATTGATCATGCTGGTGTCACCCATTGATCATCCCAATATTATCCATTGACCACCTTGGTGTCACCAGGGCCACCCACATGGGAGAGCGCTTGTCAAAGGTGGCACCTGGGGACACAGGCCAGTGTCACCAGTGCCACCCCTTGACCAGCCTGGTGTCACCCACTGACCACCACAGTGTCACCCATTGACCAGCCTGGTGTCACCCATTGACCAGCCTGGTGTCACTCACTGACCACCCTGGTGTCACCAGTGCCACCCATGTGGGAGAACTCTTGTTGAAGGTGGCACCTGGGGACATGGGGCATGGCCACTGTCACCAGTGTCACCCATTGACCACCCTGGTTCCAGCGGATGGGGGTTTTGGAGGATCGGGGTTTTGGGGCATTGGGGTCCCAGGGCACTGGGGTCCCAGGGCATGGGGGTCCCAGGGCACTGGGGTCCCAGGGCATGGGGGTCCCAGGGCACTGGGGGTTTCGGGGTGCCCCCGCTCACCCGACTGGTCCTCAGTGGTGTCGGCCTCGTGGATCTGGTTGTCGAACCACATGTGGGCCACGGTCATGCGGTTCTGGGTCAGCGTGCCCGTCTTGTCCGAGCAGATGGTGGAGGTGGAGCCCAGCGTCTCCACGGCCTCCAGGTTCTTCACCAGGCAGTTCTTGCGGGCCATGCGCTTGGCAGTGAGGGTCAGGCACACCTGGGGGCACCCCGGGGTGTCACGGGGGTGGGACCCCCGGTATGGGGTGTACAGACCCCCCCGACCCCAAAAGTGGCACCAGAACCCCCGCAGTGTTTCCTCAACACCCAAACCCCGTTGTGGTCACCTGGTCATGGGGGTCAGGCACACCTGGGGGGCACCCTGGGGTGTCACAGGGGTGGGACCCCCATATGGGGTCTGTGGACCCCCCCCAGCACCCCAAAATAATGCCAGTGCCCCCTCCCACCGTGACGGTGGCCAGCAGCCCCTGGGCACGTTGGCCACCATGATGTGCATGAGGAGGATGATGGTGGAGCCCCTCAGCAGTGCTCCCCAGTGCCTTCCCGTCTTTTAGCACTTGAGCAGCGCCGACTCCGAGGCGTCCCCGGCCGTGTCCCGCTGCGGGGACACCGCTGTCACCGCTGCCGCCGCGGGCCGGGGGCCGCGCCCCGCCCCGGGGCCCCGGGCACCCCCCCACCTTGGAGATGGAGACGTTCTCCTGGCCCGGCTTGAACACGGCGCGGTTGCAGAGCCCCGCGATGCGCGCCAGCGCCGCCCACGTGGGAGAGCGCTTGTCGAAGGTGGCACCTGGGGACACGGGCCGGTGTCACCAGTGCCACCCATTGACCAGCCTGGTGTCACCCATTGATCACCCTCGTGTCACCCATTGGCCATCCCCGTATCATCCATTGACCAGCCTGGTGTCACCAGCGCTGCCCACGTGGGAGAGCGCTTGTTGAAGGTGGCACCTGGGGACACGGGTCGGTGTCACCAGTGCCACCCATCGACCATCCCAGTGTCACCCATTGACCATCCCAGTGCCACCCATTGACCAGCCTGGTGTCACCCATTGACCACACTGGTGTCACCCATTGACCACCCTCGTGTCACCAGTGCCACCCATGTGGGAGAACTCTTGTTGAAGGTGGCACCTGGGGACATGGGGCATGGCCACTGTCACCAGTGTCACCCATTGACCACCCTGGTTCCAGCGGATGGGGGTTTTGGAGGATCGGGGTTTTGGGGCATTGGGGTCCCAGGGCACTGGGGTCCCAGGGCATGGGGGTCCCAGGGCACTGGGGTCCCAGGGCATGGGGGTCCCAGGGCATGGGGGTCCCAGGGCACTGGGGGTTTCGGGGTGCCCCCGCTCACCCGACTGGTCCTCAGTGGTGTCGGCCTCGTGGATCTGGTTGTCGAACCACATGTGCGCCACGGTCATGCGGTTCTGCGTCAGCGTGCCCGTCTTGTCCGAGCAGATGGTGGAGGTGGAGCCCAGCGTCTCCACCGCCTCCAGGTTCTTCACCAGGCAGTTCTTGCGGGCCATGCGCTTGGCAGTGAGGGTCAGGCACACCTGGGGGCACCCCGGGGTGTCACGGGGGTGGGACCCCCGGTATGGGGTGTACAGACCCCCCCGACCCCAAAAGTGGCACCAGAACCCCCGCAGTGTTTCCTCAACACCCAAACCCCGTTGTGGTCACCTGGTCATGGGTGTCAGGCACACCTGGGGGGCACCCTGGGGTGTCACAGGGGTGGGACCCCCATATGGGGTCTGTGGACCCCCCCCAGCACCCCAAAATAATGCCAGTGCCCCCTCCCACCGTGACGGTGGCCAGCAGCCCCTGGGCACGTTGGCCACCATGATGTGCATGAGGAGGATGATGGTGGAGCCCCTCAGCAGTGCTCCCCAGTGCCTTCCCAGTGCTCCCAGTGCTCCCAGTGTCCTCCCAGTTCTCCCAGTGCCCCCTCCCACCGTGACGGTGGCCAGCAGCCCCTTGGGCACGTTGGCCGCGATGATGCCGATGAGGAAGATGATGGCATCGAGCCCCTCCCAGTCCATCCCAGTATCTTACACCCAGTCCATCCCAGTCCATCCCAGTATCCCTTTACACCCCAATATCTCGGTCCCAGTCCATCCCAGTCCATCCCAGTCACTCCCAGTATCCCTGTGTGGCACCGGGGTGACAAAGGGTCCAGGGGGATGGCACTGGGGGAACTGGGATGGGCACTGGGATGGGCACTGGGATGGGGAACTGGGAGCACTGGTGGCACTGTGGTCCCCCCTGAAGATGACAATGCCATGCGTGGTCCCTGCGGTGGCACCGAGGTCACAAAGAGCCCAGGGGGATGGCAGGGTCTGGGGGATGGCACTGGGGGCACTGGATGGGGAACTGGGGGCACTGGGGGCACTGGGAGAGGGGCACTGGGAGCATTGGGATGGGGCAATGGGGGAACTGGGGGAACTGGTGGCACTGGCCCCCCTGTCCCTGTGTCCCCTGTGCCCCTGGTGTTCCCCATGTCCCCGTGTCGCCTGGTGTCCCCCCAATGTCCCCATGTCCCCTGTGCCCCTGTGTCCCCTGGTGCCCCCTGTGCCCCCTGTGCTCCTGGTGTCCCCCCATGTCCCCCCTGCCCCTGGTGTCTCCAGTGTCCCCATGTCCCCATGTCCCTGTGTCCCCAGTGTCCCCCCCTGTCCCCCCTGCCCCCCGCCTGGATGCCGTAGGCCAGGAAGCAGAGGATGGCGCCGATCCAGAGCAGGATGGAGAAGCCCCCGAAGAGCTGGCGGCAGAACTTCACCCACTCGGGCGTGGTGGGCGGCGGCGTCAGCGCGTTGGGGCCGTCCTGCACCAGGATCTCGGCAGCGCGGGCGTTCGTCAGGCCCTGCGCGGGCACGGGACACGGGACGGGTGACACCGGGACACGGGGACATGGGGACACGGGGACACGGGGACACCGGAACGAGATGGGGACACGGGGACATGGGGACACGGGGACATGGGGACACGGAGACACGGGGACACCACAGGGACATGGGGACACGGGGACATGGGGACACGGGGACATGGGGACACGGAGACACGGGGACACCACAGGGACACGGTGACATGGGGACACGGAGACATGGGGACATGGGGACATGGGGACACCACAGTGACATTGGGGACACAGGGACACGGGGACACCAGGGACACCAGGATATGGGGACACCGTGACATGGGGACACAGGGACACAGGGACACCACAGGGACATGGGGACACGGGGACATGGGGACACGGGGACATGGGGACACGGAGACACGGGGACACCACAGGGACACGGTGACATGGGGACACGGAGACATGGGGACATGGGGACATGGGGACACCACAGTGACATTGGGGACACAGGGACACGGGGACACCAGGGACACCAGGATATGGGGACACCGTGACATGGGGACACAGGGACACAGGGACACCACAGGGACATGGGGACACGGGGACATGGGGACATGGGGACACAGGGACACGGGGACATGGGGACATGGGGACACCGGGGGGACATAGGGACACTGGGACATGGGGACACAGGGACACGGGGACATGAGGACACCAGGGGGACATGAGGACACCAGGGGGACATGGGGACAGGGGGACATGGGGACACGGGGACATGGGGACACGGGGACACCACAGGGACATGAGGACACAGGGACACAGGGACACGGGGACATGGGGACACCACAGTGACATTGGGGACACGGGGACACCAGGATATGGGGACACGGGGACATGGGGACACTGGGGGGCACAGTGACATTGGGGACACAGAGACACGGGGACATGGAGACATGGGGACATGAGGACACCAGGGGGACATAGGGACACTGGGGACACAGGGACACCGGGGGGAACGGTGACACTGGGGGGACACAGTGACACCAGGGACACCCTGGGAGGGACACAGGGACATGGGGATACAAGGACACGGGGACATGAGGACTTGGGGACATTGGGATTGAGGGATGTGAGGGTACAGGGACACAGGGACACAGGGACACAGGGACACAGGGACACAGGGACACGGGGACACGGGGACACAAGGACATCTCACCCGGGACAGGTCCACCTGGTACTTCCTGCCCAGCTCATCCAGGGACAGTTTGTGGTCATCCTGAGGGACAAATGCCACCCCTGTCACCGCGTCCCCAGCCAGGGTGGGGGCAGCTGTCCCCGTGTCACCTCTGGCCGGGGTGGCATGGCCAGCTGTCCCCTGAGTCCCACATCGCCCACGTCACCCGTGTGTCACCTCAGCTGGGTGACACGGGACAGCTGTCCCCATGACCCCAGGCACCCCAGCAGGGTGGCATGGCCCCGTGTCCCCGTGTCACCCACGTCCCTCTGGATGGGATGACACAGCCAGCTGTCCCTGGAGTCCCATGTCACCCCTGTCCCCATGTCCCCATGGTGCCAGTGTCACCCATGTCACCCATGTCACCCATGCCCCCTATGCCTCCCATGTCTCCCTGCACCTGTTGCTGTCCCCCATGTCCCTGTCCCTGTCCCCATCCCCTCACTGTCCCCTGTCCCCTCGCTGTCCCATGTCCCCCTGTCCCTATCGCTGTCCCTGTTGCTGTCCCTTCACTGTCCCTGTCCTTGTCCCCTGGCTGTCCCGGTATCCCCATGTCCCTGTCCCTGTTCTTGTGTCCCCTGGCTGTCCCCGTGTCCCTGTCCCCATGTCCCTGTCCCTGTCCCCGTGTCCCCTCATTGTCCCTGTGTCCCTGTCCCTGTCCCCTGGCTGTCCCCATGTCCCTGTCCCCTCATTTTCCCCATCTCCCTGTCCCTGTCTCCATGTCCCCATGTCCCTGTCCCCTCATTGTCCCCGTGTCCTCGGGGGTCACTGTGGTCATTGAGGGGTCATTGTGGTCATGGAGGGGTCATTGTGGTCCATGTGGTCATTGAGGGGTCAGTGTGGCCATTGAGGGGTCATTGTGGTCAGTGTGGTCATTGAGGGGTCACTGTGGTCAGTGTGGTCATTGTGGTCAGTGTGGTCAGTGTGGTCATTGAGGGGTCAGTGTGGTCACCAGAGGGTCACTGTGGTCACCAGGGGGTCACTGTGGCCATTGAGGGGTCACTGTGGTCACCAGGGGGTCACTGTGGCCATTGAGAGGTCACTGTGGTCACCAGGGGGTCACTGTGGCCATTGAGGGGTCACTGTGGTCACCAGGGGGTCACTGTGGTCACCAGGGGGTCACTGTGGCCATTGAGGGGTCACTGTGGTCATTGAGGGGTCACTGTGGTCACCAGGGGGTCACTGTGGTCTTTGAGGGGTCATTGTGGTCACAGGGAGGGTCATTGTGGTCACAAGAGTGGCATTGGGGTCATGGAGGGGTCATTGTGGTCATCAGGGTGGCGGTGTGGTCATTGTGGTCATTGAGGGGTCACTGTGGCCATTGAGGGGTCACTGTGGTCACCAGGGTGGCATTTTGGCCATAGAGGGGTCACTGTGGTCACTGGAGGGTCATTGTGGCCATTGAGGGGTCACTGTGGTCACCAGGGTGGCACTGGGGTCATGGGGTGGTCACTGTTCCCACAGGGGTGCCACCACAGTCAAGGGGGTGTCACTGCCACCATGGGGGTGTCACTGCAGCCGGGGGGGTGTCACTGTCCCCACAGGGGTTTCCCTGTCCCTGCAGGGGTGTCGCTGTCACCAAGGGGGTGTCACCGCAGTCAAGGGGGTGTCACCGTCACCGTGGGCGTGTCACTGTCGCCCCGCCCGGGCCGGCCCCCCCCGCCCCCCCCCCGCCCCCCGCCCCAACCCCCGGCCCCGGGGGGGGCGCTGGGAACGCAGGTGTGCGCGGGGGTGGGGGCGCGACCCTTCCCGACCCCCCCAAATCCAGGGGGACCCCCCACATCCGGACCCCCCGCGGGTCAGGTTTAGGGGGGGGGCGATCATTGTTGGGAGGGGGGGGCGCTGCCCCGGGGCTGCGGCGGCTCCCTGCCCCCCCCCCCCCCGGGGTTTTTGGGGTGTTGTTGGGTTTTTGGGGGTCCCCCAGCCCGGTGCGTGCCCGGTGCTGCCGGCCCGGCCCCGCCTGGCACCGGGAGGTGCCCGGGAATGCGGCCGGGGGCTAAAATTAGCCCGGGACAGCCGGGGGTTGGGGGGACAGCGAGGGGGGGACTGGGGGGCTGTGCGGGGGTCCGGCTGTGCCCGGGGTGTGACTGTGCCCAGGGATCCAGCTGTGCCCGGGATCCGTGCCCCCCCCCCCTTTCCCGGCTTTATCTCCATGGCAACGGCCAAGGGCAGCTCAAGAACGGGGGAGGGGGGGTTGGGGCACCGGTGACACCCGTGAGGGACACCAGGGACACCAGTGGCACCAGTGACACCAGTGAGGGACACCAGTGGCACCCGTGAGGGACACCAGGGACACCAGTGAGGGACACCAGGGACACCAGTGACACCAGTGAGGGACACCAGGGACACCAGTGACACCCGTGAGGGACACCAGTAACACCCGTGAGGGACACCACTGACACCAGTGACACCCGTGAGGGACACCAGTGAGGGACACCAGTGGCCCCAGTCCGCACCAGTTATCAGCTCCCCCAGCCCGCGGCTCCGCTCCCTGCCCCAGCCACGCCCTCCAGGGCCTCCCAGTATCCTCCCAGTATCCTCCCAGTATCTCCCCAGTACAGAGCCCGGCGCTCCCCGTCCAGCCCCACACCCTTGGTGCAGACCAGTCCCCCCAGTCCGGACCAGTAACCCCAGTCCAGACCAGTCCCCAGAGTCCGGACCAGTAACCCCAGTCCGGACCAGTCCCCCCGGTCCGGACCAGTCCCCCCAGTCCGGACCAGTCCCCCCAGTCCGGACCAGTCCCCCCAGTCTGGACCAGTGACCCAGTCCGGACCAGTCCCCCCAGTCCGGACCTGCCCCCGCCCAGTTCCTCCCAGTCTGCCCCAGTTTGTCCCAGTACTGCCCATGTCCCCAGCACCTCCCAGTCCATCCCAGTGCTCCCAGTCCATCCCAGTCTGTCCCAACGCCCCCCAGTTCCCCCCGTGCGGTTCTTCCCAGTGCTCCCAGTCCATCCCAGTCCCCCCCGTGCTCCCAGAGCCTCCCAGTCCATCCCAGTCCTCCCAGAGCCTGTGTGTTCCAGTTCCCCCGGTCCACAAAGTGCTCCCAGTTTGTCCCAGTCCTCCCAGTCCCCTCAACCCATCCCAGTCATCAGTTCCCCCGCTCCTGCCGCCTTGTCCCCCCCGTGTGTCCCCTCCGCGTCCCTCCGTTGTCCCCCCCGTCCCCCCCACCACCCTGGGGGTCCCCATGTCCTTGGAGACACCCCAGCCCCCACCCTGGGGGTCCCCATGTCCTTGGAGACACCCCAGCCCCCACCCTGGGGGTCCCCATGTCCTTGGAGAGACCCCAGCCCCCACCCTGGGGGTCCCCATGTCCTTGAGGGGGTGGCACTGCCACCGTCCTGCCAGCCCTGCAGGATTTGGGGTCAGGGCGCTGTGCCCACCCCGATTTCACCCCAAATTCCTCAGCGGGGCCTCTGGATCGCCCCTCCCCCGAGGCACCCCAAACGCAGGGACACCCCAACCCCACCGCCCGCACCCCAAAACCGCCGCCACCACCAGAGCTGGGGGGATATTTAATAAATGATTCGTGTTTTGGGGCCACCACCGCGGCTCGGGGCTGGCCGAGCTCCCGTTGCTCTCATGGGGGATTTTGGGGTCCCCTTTGCCCCACAAACCCAGGGACACCCCAAAACCCACAGCACCACCATAACTGGGGGGATTTTCAGTATTTACACCCGGATTTTGGTGACATCACTGTAACTCAGAGCTGGCCAAGGTCCCTTTACTCTCCTGAGAGGTTTTGGGGTGCCCTTTGCCCCCACAAACCCGTGGGCACGCCAAACCCATCACTCACACCCCAAACCCACCACTATCATCATAATGGGGGGGGATTTTCAGTATTTACACCTGGATTTTGGTGGCACCACCTCAACTCGGGGCTGGCCGAGGTCCCTTTGCTCTCCTGAGAGATTTTGGGGTCCCCTTTGCCCCCACAAACCCAGGGACACCCCAAACCCACCACCACCACCATAACGGGGGGGATTTTCAGTATTTACACCCGGATTTTGGTGGCACCACCTCAGCTCGGGGCTGGCCAAGGTCCCTTTACTCTCCTGAGAGATTTTGGGGTCCCCTTTGCCCCCACAAACCCAGGGACACCCCAAAACCCACAGCACCACCATAACAGGGGGGATTTTCAGTATTTACACCCGGATTTTGGTGACATCACTGTAACTCAGAGCTGGCCAAGGTCCCTTTACTCTCCTGAGAGGTTTTGGGGTGCCCTTTGCCCCCACAAACCCGTGGGCACGCCAAACCCATCACTCACACCCCAAACCCACCACTATCATCATAATGGGGGGGGATTTTCAGTATTTACACCTGGATTTTGGTGGCACCACCTCAACTCGGGGCTGGCCGAGGTCCCTTTGCTCTCCTGAGAGATTTTGGGGTCCCCTTTGCCCCCACAAACCCAGGGACACCCCAAACCCACCACCACCACCATAACGGGGGGGATTTTCAGTATTTACACCCGGATTTTGGTGGCACCACCTCAGCTTGGGGCTGGCCAAGGTCCCTTTACTCTCCTGAGAGATTTTGGGGTCCCCCTTTGTCTCCACAAACCCAGGGACACCCAAAAAACCCAGGGACACCCCAAACCCACCACCACCACCATAACGGGGGGGATTTTCAGTATTTACACCCGGATTTTGGCGGCATCACCGCGACTCGGGGCTGGCCTGTCCTTGAGGGGGTGGCACTGCCAGCGTCCTGCCAGCCCTTCAGGATTTGGGGTCAGGTCGCTGTGCCCACCCCGATTTCACCCCAAATTCCCCAGCGGGGCCTCTGGATCGCCCCTCCCCCGAGGCACCCCAAACGCAGGGACACCCCAACCCCACCGCCCGCACCCCAAAACCGCCGCCACCACCAGAGCTGGGGGGATATTTAATAAATGATTCGTGTTTTGGGGCCACCACCGCGGCTCGGGGCTGGCCGAGCTCCCGTTGCTCTCATGGGGGATTTTGGGGTACCCTTTGCCCCACAAACCCAGGGACACCCCAAAACCCACACCACCACCATAATGGGGGGGATTTTCAGTATTTACACCCAGATTTTGGTGGCACCACCTCAGCTCGGGGCTGGCCAAGGTCCCGTTGCTCTCCTGAGAGATTTTGGGGTCCCCTTTGCCCCCACAAACCCAGGGACACCCCAAACCCACCACCACCACCATAACAGGGGGGATTTTCAGTATTTACACCCAGATTTTGGTGGCACCACCTCAGCTCGGGGCTGGCCAAGGTCCCTTTACTCTCCTGAGAGATTTTGGGGTCCCCCTTTGTCTCCACAAACCCAGGGACACCCAAAAAACCCAGGGACACCCCAAACCCACCACCACCACCATAACGGGGGGGATTTTCAGTATTTACACCCGGATTTTGGCGGCATCACCGCGACTCGGGGCTGGCCGAGCTCCCGTTGCTCTCATGGGGGATTTTGGGGTCACCTTTTTCCCCACGAACCCGTGGGCACCCCAAACCCATCACTCACACCCCAAACCCACAGCACCACCATAACAGGGGGGATTTTCAGTATTTACACCCGGATTTTGGTGGCACCACCTCAGCTCGGGGCTGGCCAAGGTCCCTTTACTCTCCTGAGAGATTTTGGGGTCCCCTTTGCCCCCACAAACCCAGGGACACCCCAAAACCCACAGCACCACCATAACAGGGGGGATTTTCAGTATTTACACCCGGATTTTGGTGACATCACTGTAACTCAGAGCTGGCCAAGGTCCCGTTGCTCTCCTGAGAGATTTTGGGGTCCCCTTTGCCCCCACAAACCCAGGGACACCCCAAACCCGTCACTCACACCCCAAACCCACCACCACCACCATAATGGGGGGGATTTTTGCTATTTACACCCGGATTTTGGCGGCATCACCGCGACTCGGGGCTGGCCAGGGTCCCGTTGCTCTCGCGGGGGGACATCTCGGGGTCCCCCTCGCCCCCCGCGGCCGCCGCCTCGTCCAGGCGGCTGGGGATGGACCAGTACAGGTGGGCATCGCGGCGGGCGGCGGCGGCTGCCAGCTGGCGGGCGCTGCAGGCCGGGGTGGGCACGGGCACCGTGTGGTGGAAGCCCCCGTAGTCCACCTCGTAGAAACCTTCCTCCAGGCTCAGCAGCGGCGTGAAGCGGTGACCCCAGAGCACCTCGTCCGCCAGGTACGAGCTGCGCGCCTGGCACGTCATCCCTGGGGGGCACGGGGGTCAGGGGGGCCCCCAAAATGGGAGGGGTGAGGGGCACCCCGATACCTGAGTCACTCTGGGCATGGGGACCACAATTCCTGAAGAATCCAGAACACAGGAAACCTCAGTTCTGGTAGGAGGGGTCTGTGAAACCCCCAGAATTTGGGGCACCCCGATACCTGAGTCACTCTGGGCATGGAGACCCCAATTCCTGAATCTCTCAGGGTATGGGGGACCCCAATACCTGATGGTTCCTGACCCCAGAGCACCTCGTCCGCCAGGTACGAGCTGCGCGCCTGGCACGTCATCCCTGGGGGGCACGGGGGTCAGGGGTGAGGGGCACCCCACTCTCTGAGTCATGGGGACCCCGATATCTGAGTCACTCTGGGCACGGGGACCCCAATTCCTGAACCTCTCAGGGTATGGGGGACCCTCATTCCTAAAGAATCCAGGACATGGGAAACCCCAATTCTGGTAGGAGGGGTCTGTGAAACCCCCAAAATTTGGGGCACCCCAATACCTGAGTCACTCTGGGCATGGGGACCCCAATATCTGAATCCAGGACACAGGAAACCCCAGTTCTGGTAGGAGGGGTCTGTGAAACCCCCAGGGCTTGGGGCACCTCAAGATCTGAAGCCCCAGAACATGGGACACCCCAAACCCACCTGGGGGGGTCTGTGCTGTGCCCTCATTTTGGGGAACCCCAAATCTGGTAGAGGGGGCTGTGAAGTCCCCAGCAGAGATGTCCCCATGGAGGTGAGGTGTCCCCATGGAGGTGTCCCCACAGACAGGATGGATCCCCATGGAGATGAGATGTCCCCACAGAGACCAAGTGTCCCCATGGACATGATGTGTCCCCATGGATGTTGTCTGTCCCCATGGAGGGGAAACCCCAGTTCTGGTAGGAGGGGTCTGTGAAACCCCCAGGGCTTGGGGCACCTCAAGATCTGAAGCCCCAGAACATGGGACACCCCAAACCCACCTGGGGGGGTCTGTGCTGTGCCCTCATTTTGGGGAACCCCAAATCTGGTAGAGGGGGCTGTGAAGTCCCTCATGGAGATGTCCCCATGGAGATGAGGTGTCCCCATGGAGGTGTCCCCACAGACAGGATGGATCCCCATGGAGATGAGATGTCCCCAAGAGGATGATGTGTCCTCATGGAGGTGTCCCCATGGATGTGTCCTCATGGAGGTGTCCCTATGGAAATGAGATGTCCTGATGAGATGTCCCCAAGAGGATGATGTGTCCTCATGGAGGTGTCCCCATGGATGTGTCCTCATGGAGATGTCCCTATGGAGATGAGATGTCCCCATGGACATGACGTCCACACGGAGATGAAGTGTCCCCATGGAGGTCATGGATCCACATGGAGGTGATGTCCCCACAGAGATGAGATGTCCCCAGGAAGACAATGTGTCCTCATGGAGATGATGTGTCCTCATGGAGGTGTCCCCACGGATGTGTCCCACAGAGATGATGCGTCCTCATGGACATGTCCCCATGGATGTGTCCTCATGGAGGTGTCCCCACAGTTGTGTCCCACAGAGATGATGTGTCCTCATGGACGTGTCCCCATCAAGATGAGATGTCCCCATGGAAATGATGTGTCCTCATGGAGGTGTCCCCACAGATGTGTCCCACAGACATGATGTGTCCCAAGAAGACAATACGTCCCCACAAAGACGATGTGTCCCACGGAGATGACATCCCCGTGGATATATCCACAAAAAGACACTGTGTCCCTGTGCCACCAAGGTGTCCCCATGCCACCAAGGTGTCCTTGTGCCACCAAGGTGTCCCCGTGCCACCAAGGTGTCCCCATGCCACCAAGGCGTCCCCACCCCCGTTTACCTGTGGCCTCCACCATGCCCTCGAGGATGACGACGATCTCGAAGTCGTCCCTCTCCAGCTGCCCCCGCGACACGTCCCAGAAGGGGCTGCGCTCGTCGATCTCGTGGCTGATGATGAGCGGCGACACCAGGAAGAGGCGGTCGTCGCCGGTCTCGAAGCCCACGCTCAGGTCGGTCTGGTCGAGCGGGATGAACTCGCCCTCCTGCGTCTGCTTGGACTGGATGAGCTTGGCGCGGATGGAGGCCTCCACGATGTGCGAGTCGCGCAGGTCGCCCACGCGGAACATCAGGCACAGGCGGTCGTCGCGCAGCGACACCACGGCGTGCGAGGAGAACACCAGGGTCTCGGCGCGCTTGTTGGGCTGCGAGATCTTGACGAACATGCAGCCCACCATGAAGGCGTTGACCATGGAGCCCAGGATGGCCTGCAGCAGCAGCAGCACGATGCCCTCGGGGCACGTGTCCGTGATGACGCGGTGGCCGTAGCCGATGGTGGTCTCGGTCTCGATGGAGAACAGGAAGGCGGACACGAAGCCGTTGAGGTTGTTGACGCACGGCGTCCAGGTGTGGTCGCCCAGGTGCTCCAGGTCGCCGCGGCTGTAGGCGATGACCCACCAGATGAGGCCGAAGAAGAGCCAGGTGAGGGCGTAGGCCAGGATGAAGATGAGGAGGCTGAAGCGCCACTTGAGGTCCACCAGGGTGGTGAAGATGTCGGTCAGGTAGCGGTAGGTCTCGCGCACGTTGCCGTGCTGCACGTTGCACTTGCCGTCCTTCTCCACGTAGCGCTGGCGCTTCCGGGCCGCCGCGGCCCCCCCGGCCCCCCACGGGGGGACTGGGATGGGACTGGGATGGGACTGGGAGGGGACTGGGGCAATGGAGCCCTCAGACTGGGGGGACTGGGATGGAGGAGTGGGAGGGTGGAGACCTCAAACTGGGAGGAACTGGGATGGGGGGATGGGGGGATTGCACACTCAAACTGGGGAGATTGGGTTGGTCATGATCCCTCCAAACTGGGGCGGACTGGGATGGGGGGAGTGGGGGGAAGGAACACCCAGACTGGGAGGACTGGGAGGGAGGAGTGGGAGGATGGAGACCTCGGACTGGGAGGACTGGGATAGGGGGAGTGGGGGATGGAGGTGCCAAACTGGGGGAAGTGGGAGGGAGGAATGAGGGGGTGGAGCCCTCAAACTGGGGGAACTGGGAAGGAATGGGAGGATGGAGGTGCCAAACTGGGGCGACTGGAAAGGACTGGGGCGATTGCCCCCTTCACACCCGCGTGTCCAACCCCCTCTGGGCCTTGCACACTCGCCGAGCTCCCCCCTTGCACACTCAGCCCGGGCTCACACACACGCGCGTGCACGCGCGGCCGGGTCACGCGCACCCCACCCCCCACCTTACACACGCGTGTGACCGGTTTGGGGGGGGCTGTGGGGGGTCCCTGCGGCACCACCCCCAACTCCCCCCACCCC